TCCAGGCGGGGAGGTGAAGGCCTCAGCGCCCGGCGCCCCCACAGCCCGTGAGCAGCCTGGAGCGCACCCTCGCCCAGCCTCCCAGAGGGGTCCCAGGCCCAGTTCTCCCCGCTGTGCTGTATCCAGCCCTCCCAGGCCCCTGGGGGCCCCAACCAGCCCTCTTCCCTCCCGGGTTTCAGAAGTGAGTCCTCTCCATAACCCAGAAAGTCTCAAACTCTGTGGATCCCAAGAGCTGCCTGTCTCCCTGGACCGATACAAATGGCTACACAATTGTGTGTCCGGTACCCGGTACCCGAGGGCTGCGTGCCCCCCTGAAGCCCAACCAGAGGCTGTAAGCTAACTGCATCTATGCTCTAATCTGAGTGCCATCTTTCACCTCCCCAGGGTCACTAGGACACCAGAGCCCAGCCCCTTGCCCCTGCTGCAGCCCCTTCCCCGTCTGAGCTGGAGTTCAAGGCCCACCCTCATCTGCCTCGCTGGTGTCCGGCCCTGATTTTCAGCAACTTGACTTTTCTCCACAAATGGAGGTGGTGGGGGTGGGGGGTAGATGGGATGAGTACAACAGATGAGGAAGACGGGCAGATGTTTGGGGACAGGCATTAGCTAAGGGCTAGATGGGAGAGGCTTGGAGACGGTGTGGCCTAGCTTTGTAAACCCAGCCAGCTTCCTAGTCCCTCCCCCCACCCCCCAAACAGAAGCCCTGGCCTCCCTCCCCCAACTCCACCTTGCCACCCTATCTACACAGGCAGCCTGAGCAGGCAGAGGGAGCAGATGGAGAGAAGGTTGCAGCAGCCGCGGAGTGGTGAGCTGGGAGTCCGTGGAGGAGGACAGGGGAGGGGAGGAAGCACTGAGGCCCAGGGAATCAGACAACCTCCCCATCTTCACCCACAGCTGCCCCACTCCCGCCTTCATTCAGTCATCCGATGCTCTTTTACAGGGGACTCACCGCAGGTGCAGACTTGCATTAGGTTCTGGGGGACAGAGAGCCCCCAATAAAACCCCCCTCTTTGGCTCTGCGAAGTTCCCGTTCCTGGCAGCAAAGCCAATGGGTCTTTAGAAAGAGGGTGCCGAGGCAAGGGGTACATACGAGCTCATTCCTCCTCTGGGGAGGCCGGAGCCCTCCCTGGCTTTGCTGGATTGGGCTGGGAGCTGTGTGCAGTGTGACCTCGATTGCCTTCCTCATCACCACGCGGGGCTGCACAGGGCTGAGGTGCAGGAGGTGCACAGTGATGCTTGTTGAGTGGAAAGGTGGCTAGCAAGGGAGGTGGAGGGAAAGGGAAAGAGAGCGCGTGAGGGAGAGAAACACAGACAGGCCAGCTCCACACTGAGGCAAAAAAAACTACCGTTAGCCAGGGGCATCTACCATGTGTGTCCACATGGTGCCCGGCCGCTCATTTCCATTTCATGACTGGGCGGTGTGGTGTCTCCACGTGAGCCACAGGGAGAGTCACCACCCAGCTGCGGTCACTTGGCCAGGAAGTGGCGGGACCCAGCAGGTTCCATCTGAGTCAACACACCGCTTCCCAGGATGTGATGGCTGTCCCCGCGCTATTGTCCGGTGGCTGTTCTCTGGTGCTTCAATGCCCCCTTCTTACCAGGAGGCTGCAGCAGAGCCGAGTTCATCCTTTTGGTCAAGGCCGCGAGCCACGAGAAGATCATTGCCTGCATGCCGGTCGGTCTCTCATATGGAAGAAGTGACACCATAAACCATTAACCCATTGAATACATGGGCAGGGATTTACTCATCCCATTTGTCTAATATTAAGAGGTGTTGGTTTTTTTTTTGTCTATTTGCTTGTTTAAAGAAGAAGGCCCATGATAGGAATGGAATTCTGCAGAAAGTCTTCCCCCGTCACCATTTTGATACTCATTACAGATGAAGGAACTGAGGCTCGGGGAGGCAAAGGGACTTGGTCTCCCTTTTGGGCTTGTACTCTCTCTATGACCCCAGGGCACCTCTGGCCTGGATTCTGGTGCCCTGGTGGCCTTCTGCTACCCACAGCTCCCCGGGAGGAACTCCCAGCGTCTCTGCAGAGAAGGTGACGTGCCCACAACTCTGTCTACTGTATATGTCGGCTCTTGTGCAGGTAAAAGCGGTCCAGGGGAGACAAAGCATGGCCTCGCTTCTCCCTGCTGTGTAAGAAGGGCAAGTAATTCAACCTTCCTGGGCCTTTTTTCCCCTCTTCTGATAAAAAGGGACAAAAATAACACTTCTCATGTGGGGTGACTGACACAAATAGATAATATTCCTGTGACACCAGGGGATACAACAGCCTTTATTTCATACGGTTGTAGAGAGGATCCCATAGCCCAGTTCAGATTATAGGAAAAACAGTGAATTTCATTCTCAGAAGTTTGGTCTTGTGAGAGAAAGAACACTGGGATAGGAATGCTGAGTTCTGATTCCTCCTCTGGTGACCAGGCTCTCTAGGACTGTTTCCCCATCCATCCATCCATCCATCCATCCATCCATCCATCCATCCACCTATCCATCCATCCATCCATCCATCCATCCATCCACCCATCCATCCATCCACCTACCCACCTAACCATCCATCCATCCATCCATCCATCCACCCACCCACCACCCCATTCATCCTTCCACCCCATCTATCTACAAATATTGTTTGAGCGCCTACTATTTATCAAGTGTCTACTCAGTGCCAAACTCTGTGCTAGGTGCTGCAGCAGACGCTGTCACTTGTTCTCTAGACCTGACAGTCCAGTGAAGTCTGGCAACACCAGTGCCCAAATCCTTTCCAAGATCAATGTTCTACATCAGGGGAAGCAGTATAGCAGAGTGGCTACAAGTGGACTTTGAAACCTGACAGACTTGAATTTGAATTGTTTCTCTCCTAACAGCTGTGTGACCTTGCACAACCGACTTACCCTCTCTGATACTGTTTTAAAGAAAGGCTGTCATTTAAATGAAACAAGATAATTACTATAAGCATTTAGGATTGTGTACGTAGCATATAGTAAACTCTCCATCCATCTAAACATCTATCCATCAATCCATCCATTCATCCATCCTTGTAACAAAAAATCTTTTGAGCACCTGTGATGTGCCAGGTGCTATTCTGGGCACCGGAAATACACAAATGAACTAGACAAAGTCCTTGCTCTCTGGAACTTATCACGTACAGGAGAGAGATACACAGTAAACCCTTCAACAAATAAGAATGTCAGAGAGCTTTGCGTTCTATGAGGAAGATAAAACAGGGGGATTTGAGAGTAAATGATGCAGGTTCCTTTTGAATGGTCAGGAGATAGCCCCTTAGAGTCGGAGGCATTTAAGCAGAGGAGTGAAAGGTGAGACAGAGGTAACCTGTGAAGAACAAGGTGGTGGGGGAGAAGCACATTCGAGTAGAGCACCCAGCAGGTGCCCCTATTGGGCTGAAGCAGGGCTGTTGCAGTAAATGGTAGCCATTGTCATCGAGTGTCTGCGATGCCATCCTCTGTCTGCACTGATCGTAATTAACCAGGAAGTCTGTCCTCGGTAATTGCGCTCTCCATTCATCAGCATACAATGTGGGAAGTTTCCATTCTATTCATCCTCCTGCCCCACCCAAAGCCAGCATCACATTTCTCTCCCAGGAACATCTGGTGCCGGGAAGGTTGACATCATTGAGGGGGAAGGTTTACATCAAAATGGGAGGAGGAAGAAAATCTTTTGTCTTGGAGTAAAAATAAAATACAAAAGGCGACATCTTAAAAGAGACAGAGAGAGTTTTAAAGAAATGCCCCAGCAAGAGGATAGCCCAGGAGAAAGCCACGCTGGGCCTTTGAAAGGCAGGCAGAGCGTGTAGCTGGCATCTCTCATCGTGTGATTTCAACCCGGTCTGGCCCGTGCAGTCCGGTGCAGGAAGCCCGCGGCCGTCCCGTCTCACTCTGGCCCGATGCTAACAAGGGAATGATCCACTTTGACGCAGCCACCCCCCATCCAGCGTGTTCACCTCACCTGGAAAGAAGCGATTCCGCCTCTGGTTTCCGTGGAAATTCTCGGTCTGGCTATACCACCTGCCCTGGCTCTTGAGAAGTACCGGAGGCACACGGGAAACCGCACAGGGAGACAATGCTTTTATTTTCAAACGGAAAGTGTACAGAAGACAAGCTGAGCCTGCAGAGGCTCGACTGGCCGACGAGCAGGAGGAGCAATGCCATGTCAGGAACATGGAGGAGGCTGAAAGCCAGGGACACCCCCACAGGCTCTGGGGGGACCCCCAGTCACCTTCCTGCAGACCCGGCTGGGAGATTTTTTCCCGGGTTTATGTTTTCGGGTCTCAAAGGTGACAAAAGAAAAATCAGTTAAAGACACCCTGTATCTTTCTGTCCTCGGTTGGCATTATGAACGGGGGCACCCACAATTTTCAGGCCACGAAGAAGAAGCCCATGGGCTCCTGTGAGACGCCCACGAGGGCCCACGGCCTTTGGAGTCAGCGGGCTTATGTGGAGTCAGACACGCCTGAGAGCGAGTCAGAGCTCTCTCCTGATGCATCACCTTTAAACCTCCGTTTCCTTGTCTGTACGAAGCGAGGGGTGTTAGTAACTACTTCTGAGGGTTCTTGGGATGGTAGGAGAGGAGATTATGGCGCATTATACAGATGGTTGGTGAGAAACACAGCCCGAAGGCCATCAAGAGCTCTTCTCTAGTCGGGTTTATTCGGTGTATGTATGTCTGGGCCCAGAAGAAAGTCCAGCTGAGGTTTCAGATACAGAATAAGGAAAACTCCCAAGCCCATTGGGGACCTGGCCCATCTAACCCACTTATCACGTGACACTCACTGGACATGAACCGTGGCAGCGCTGTCCTGTTCAATTGCAGAAACATCCTCTACCCTTTGCCTTCCCCTGGGACCTCATCGGTCTCTTCAGTATGGAACCCTGACAGGCCAGGCTGCGGCGGGCCCCTGCTGACCGATAGACACCCTGCCCTTTCTCCCGGCTCCCAAGCCAAAACGCAGCCATGGTCCCTGGGAGGGACAGAACGGGGCAGGAAGAGGAGGACTGATGTCTGAGGTCCCCCCTCCCCACCCCGAGGCTCCCAGGGAGAGTCTGTGTTTATCCATTTCCCTGCACTGTTCCCTCGGAGGGAGCCTCACCCAGCATCAGCAGGAACAGTGGCCAAGGAATTTCCCATCAGACCTCACGGATGGGCGTGATTTCAGGAGCCCGAGGGACAGTGGGTAGCCGTCGGAGAGCCCCGAGGCTTCCCCCCCAACTCCTGTGTGACGTCTGTACGCCCCCGGCCCTCTCTGATTTTTCATTCATATGAAAAAGGGACATACTTAGAAAGATGACCCCTCATTTGACGGCATTGGCTTCCACACCCAGGAGAGGATAGGGCTCTACAGCAGCCCCGGTGAGAATAAAAGCTGATATTTTTAAGCAGCCGCTGTGAGTTTGCCATTTGATGTCTCCCTCCATCCTCACAACCGCCCGTGGAGGTGGTATTATTATAACCCGAACTCCTACCCTAGCCTCTAGGGCCCTGCGGATCTGGCCCCTCCTTCCTGCCTGAACTTCTCTGTGCTTCCCTTGGATGAAGCTCCGGCTGCAAACAGGGCTGCCTCGCAGGCCCTCGCTCTCGCTCTCTCTGTCCTCCTCAAAGACACACCGCTGGCTCTTGGTCATCCTTCTGTGGTCAGCCGGAGAGGGCGCGTCCTCAGGTTTCAATCCTTCCTCGCCAGTGGCGCCACCTAAAATTATCCTTATTTACTGAGGTCTTGGCAGCCGTGCTGTAACCTCTGTGTTCGTCCACGAGATTCTAAGCATCATGAATGCAAGGACCCTTATCAGCACAAAACCCATAGGAGGTTTTCAGTGCAGTCTTGTTTAATATTGAATGAATGAATGAATGAATGAACGATGCATTAAACAGAGGCTCAGAGGGGGTGATGGAATTTTCCAACAGTCACCCTTCAGTAAGCGTGACAGAACTGGGACTCAAACCCGGGCCGGTCTGACCTCCAGCCGAAGTGTGTAACCACTGGGCCACACCGCCCTTCCGCGGGGGAGCAGGTGATGCTTCCCAGCAGTGAGATTCTGAAGCAGCGGGAGTTCCCAGCCAGAGGCATGATCTAAGCGCCCGTGTCTGAGTGTCTGGGAGCATTTCAAGTCGTTTCGAGAAAAGGCGACGTGCGCGGCACCATTAAAGCCTGCTGCTCTCCATCCCGTCCCTGCCATCCCCACCTATTAAAATAATGGTATGAAAAATAAACAGCCTTTACGGACGGTTTTATAGGGCGCGTGCATTGTTTGTTTCTCTCGCTGTTACCATGGCAGTGATGTTCTGCCGTTAACTTCAGGTTTCTCTGTGATGGAAGGGAACGGAGCAAAATTGCTTGGGGGGAAAATTGCCAAACAAAGGCTTTTCCTCCTCTGGATGCCCCACCTCCCGGCGCGCAAAAGCAGCCGCAGCTCACCCTGAATTCTGATGCCCAGCATAAAGGCTGCTTCCAAATCTACAGCCTCCCATGGCTCCTCAGTGCCTGTAATTTGAGGGCCGAGGGTCTCAGCATTTCTGTAAAGGCTCTGCTATCTGGATCCCTCTCCTGTTCCTCGTTCCCTCGCACCCTGGGTGTCTCTCAGGTCCACATATTTGCTCGTGCTGTTCCTGCCTCCTGGGCTACCCTTCTTCCTTCTGCCTCTCTGCCAGGCCTCCTGTGACTCATTATTTCAAGTTCAAGTGTGACTCGGCCACCCTCCCACCTTGCCCACCCATCCCCCAATCTGGGTCAGATTCCTTTCCTCCCTGCCCCCACAACCCCCTTAAGCATAGCATTGCTCTGGTCCCCCATACTTTTTTTTTCTCAGTGTATAACAGTGGGTCAGGAACATAGTAGGTGCTCAATAAATGCTCCTCGAACCAACTTAGCAGGAAAAATCAGACGGTCTGAGAGGCTGCCGAAGGGTGGAACATCTGCGTGTATCTCATTCTTTGGGAATAAATGGTGGCGGTGGTGGTGGTGGTGGGGGGCGGTGTTTAATCAAAGCTCTTGGGCAGAGGAGGGTGGAACCTTTTGGTTGACAAGCCCAGTGAGTGGTTCTCAAAACAGAACTATGGTGCTGATATGAAAATAAAGACGATGTGAAGATAAATTCTGGTCCAGGGAAAACAACAGACGCCCATGGCATTTGACACATCAGCTCCACTGGGCACCCTCATGCGAGCCGAGGGCTGGGGGGCTGTGAAGGCGCCAGGCAGGACCCTGATGTGTGGGGGTTTCCAGGTTCCTCCCTTCCAGCCATCTGAGCCATCTGAGCAAGTTTGACTCACCGTTTTTCTGTACACTTCACTGCTTCTTCTTTAAGCATCTCTTCCACGTGTCCACGACTGGCCTCGCTTTTCTGCGTGGTTCTTGAAAAGGCACAAGGACAGCGCGTCCTGACCCACCTGAGGGCCAGAAAAGAAACGGGTGTTTATGTTCCCCGTGAAAAACACCCCCTACCTCCCCGTCGCTGCCCCGAACACAAGACAGATGCTAATGAGAATTTTCACCAGCATTTACAGGCTCCGTTTTAATTATACCGGATCTCTCTGAATTTACGGTAGCCCTCTGATTAACAGGGGGGAGGAAAATCAATAGCATCCCGAAAAATTTGGATGTGTTATACGGCTAATTCCAATTTTATGTTATAATCATGTTTTAATGTTGGGCCTAATTACCATAATTAAGCTGCCGGCAACAGCGCTGGCTGGGACAGAAGCTGTTACTATCCTAAGATGACTTGTCGGAGGCTTTCCCCAGATTTTGGGGTGCCTCTTGCCATCTGGCTGATTTGGGGTGCTTATGGGGGTGGGAACAGTGTGGGTGGGGCGGGTGACCATTTCTGGAACCCTGACTCTGCTCGAGGAAGCCTCGGTTCTAAGGTTAAGGCTGGGCTAGGTGCCATGCCTTTGTCATTCATTAAATGTTTATTGAGCACGTACTATGTGCCAGGTCCTCTGAGGAGCACTGGGAGTACGGATGAGAGTTTCCATTCCACGGGGGTGAGTTCGTCATTAAGTAACTAATCACATAAGGGAGACATGCCAGGTGACATCAGAGCTGCTCTAGCTCTCTCTACGTGGGACGTGGAGTCCGGGAGGCTTCTGTGGGGAAGCAAATGCTTGGTGGAGACATTAAGAATCGCAGGAGGTAAGCAAGGCAGGAGATCGTGAATAGGAGACGATTCCTGGCGAAGGAAACAACCTTTGGTGAGACCCAGAGCCGAAAGGAGGCCACCACGGAGTGTCAGGGAAAAGGGCGTGAGGGTGCAGGATGCAGCTGATGACTGAGCAGAGACCACACCACGTGGGATCTCCCGAGGTCTGAGCCATGATGGGGCAGGCCAGCCGTGGTCACTCTGGCTTCTGGCCGTGACCTGTGGGAGGCTGCGCGCGGCTGAGTGGATAGATAGCCAGGCCAGCTCCTGTAGGGCCGGTGAGACCACACATTGGCCAGCAGGAGTAACTCCTTCCTGCCCGAGAAAGGACAGAGGAATTTGGAAATTAGCTATACAGGATGTTTAACCGCAGATCTGTGGTTTCCAACCTTGACTATTCCACGAGAACCATCTAGGAGACGTGGTAAACTTGAAGACTCCTGGGCCCCGCCCAGCGAGTGGGTGGGGCTCAATGGCCCAGGATCTGCATTTTGTATAATTGATTCTGGAACAGGTGGTCTACAGGGCACAGGGAGGGACGCATGGCTTTAGCCTAATAGCCAGCTTTATACATCTATTATTATTGATTTCAGAGGGGAAGGGAGAGGAATAGAGAGATAGAAACATCCATGATGAGAGAGAATCATTGATTGGCTGCCTTTTGCATGCCCCCTACTGGGGATTGGGCCTGCAACCCGGGCATGTGCCCTTGACGGGAACCGAACCCTGGATCCTTCAGTCCGCAGGCCAATGCTCTATCTACTGAGCCAAATCAGCAAGGGTCCTAATAGCCATCTTTTGCAGCTGGGACAAATGAGGCCCAGGGAGAGGCCCAAGTTGCAATAACTCATAAGATCAAACCCCAAGCCCTCCAGCTTGCAGGCCAGGCCGGAGCCGCCCTCCCTCCGCTGGAAAAGATGTGACTCCCGGAGCCCCCGGGCACTTGTGCATGTCAGGCACACCTCCTGGTACTGACAGGCACTATTGTGGAGAGGAACTAAGGGGCCCCGAGTTCACCCAGTCATTGCAGGTGAGACTGAAAGAGTAGATAAGATCCCCATTCCTGCGAATCCACTTTCTCTGCTCTACAGATCTCCCATGAAGCTGTACGACTTGGTACCGCCTAACCACGTCCTTTAAAGTTGAGTTTGTTTATTCATTTAGCTTCTAGAAAAACAAAACCATTTCAGAATGCTTATAAAATCCATACGACAAGAGTAACCAAAGATATATCAAGCTCCCCAAACTTGATGCAAGTACATAATTACATAGTTAAACGAGATGACATGCATGTGGACACAGGCAACTACCTATCCCAGTGATGGCGAACCTTTTGAGCTCGGCGTGTCAGCATTTTGAAAAACCCTAACTTAACTCTGGTGCCGTGTCACATAGAGAAATTTTTTGATATTTGCAACCATAGTAAAACAAAGACTTATATTTTTGATATTTATTTTATATATTTAAATGCCATTTAACAAAGAAAAATTAACCAAAAAAATGAGTTCGCGTGTCATAGGTTCGCCATCACTGACCTATCCGGTCTGATTACCTGGACAGAGAAGCAAGGTGTGCACACGAGTAAGTGTGAGAGAGAAAAAACGCAGCGGGATGGAAGAATCCAGACGGTATAATGTTCATTGGACGCAGGATACAAACACTTTCATATACATTACCGCAGGGTATAAAAATAAAAAAGGCATCCATGCACGTCCCGAGGAGAACACAATAAGAAGAAAAAAGGATTTCCAGGTCATTAAGTTTTGTTTTTCTTCAAACACCATTCTCCCCTTCCCCAAAATGGAACAGAAAAAAAATACAAAAATGTAACAGCAAGAGACAGTGAGAAACTAGATTATGTTCTGATCTGCCTGCCAGAGGCAGGGATGCTGAAACTTTCCTGGAAATGAGAAGCGTCTGGAGGGTTTTGTTAAAATGCAGATCCCCGGGCCTCTCCCTCGTCAATGCTGAGTATGATGAGTTTCTCATGTAGTTCTGGTCTCATTGTGATGAGGACACAGGCGGTCCCAGACAGGAAGGCCCGCCCACAGCCCCTCCTCACCCAGTCCGATTTGATCAGGCCTGAAATCCCAGTTAGAATCTATTTGCTGTACCAAGACCATATTACAATGCAATCGCCACCTGGGAGAGGATGTAGTGAGACTGATCATTATGAGACAGTGTGACCGGGTGACTCAGCCCTTTGGAGCCTGACCCAAAACAGGTTTCATGCGCCGAGAATAGCAAATATCTATTGGCCACTTATTATGGGTCCAATGTGAAGAACCGAACGTTCTCTCAAAAACGCCAGGAGGTAGCACTCCAGTTATTACCACTTTCCAAGAGAGAAAACAGAGGTACAGAGAGGTTAAGGAATCTGCTCAAGTTGCACAGACAAGTACAAGAGGAGCCAAGTTTTGGCCCAGCCGGCGTGGCTCAGTGGTTGAGCGTCAACCTACAAACCAGGAGGTCACGGTTTGGTTCTTGGTCAGGGCACATGCCCAGGTTGTGTGCTGGATCCTCACTAGGGGGCGTGCAGGAGGCAGCCGATCAATGATTCGCTCTCATCATTGATGGTTCTCTCTCTCTCCCTCTCCCTTCCTCTCTGAAATCAATAAAAAAAAATTTTTTTAAAAGAGCCAGGTTTTGAATCCACATTATTGTATAAAATAATAATACGTTACCTCTTCCCAACAGACACAAAAGGAGGAGACAGCAGCCTGACTCGGGGAACCTAAAATGAGGGAAAAGACACACCAGGAGAGCGGGGGGTGGGGGGTGGGGGGATGGGTAGGAATCCAGAGTCGGCGTGAGGACCGTGTTTCCCGCGCCCCAATTCCTGCGTGTGGCTGGACAATAACTCAGAGGAGCAAAACCCCATTTTTAAAAAATATGACAAATCCAAGGCCAAAAATCTTTTCTCCTGGAAGTTTTATGGTTTTAGCTCTTACATTTAGGTCTATGATTTATTTTGAGTAATTTTTGTGTATGGTTGGAGGTAAGAGTCAAGGTTCTTTTTAGCCAATTGTCTCAGCATCATTAAATGAAAAGATGGTTCGGTCCCCATTGAATGGCCTTGGCCGCTTTATTGAAAATCAATTGGCCATAGATACATGGGTCTATTTCTCAACTCGATTCTATTCCATTGGTCTAGATGTCTATCTTTATGCCAATACCACACTGATTCCGTCTTGATTACTATGGACTTATAATACACCTTAAAATCAAGAGGGTAGGTCCTCCAACTTTGTTCTTTTTTCAAAATTCTTTTTGCTCTTCTAGTTTTTTTTTTTTTTGTCTTTCCCTATGAAGTATATAATCTTCTTGTCCATTTTTGCAAAAAGGCCTGCTGAGGTTTGGAGTGGGTTTGCATTGAATCTGTGGATCAAGGTGGGCAGCACTGACATCTTAACAATATTAAATGTTCTAGCCTGGCCAGCATGGCTCAGTAGTTGAGCGTTGACCTATGAACCAGGAGGTCACAGTTCGATTCCCAGTCAGGGCACATGCCCAGGTTGCAGGCTCGATCCCCAGTGGGGGCATGCAAGAGGCAGCTGATCAATGATTCTCTCTCATCATTGATGTTTCTCTCTCTCTCTCCCTCTCCCTTCCTCTCTGAAATCAAGAAAAATATATTTAAAAAAACCTGTTCTGACCCATAAATCTTCCCATTTATTTATGCCTTCTTTAACGTCTCTCAACAATATTTTATAGTTCTTAGGGTATAGGTCTTGACTATCTTTTGTCAGATTTGTCACTGAGTAACTCCTATTCTTCATGCTATCGTGGTTGTGTTACCTTCAACTTCCAACAGGTTGCTACTTAGTTTATAGAAATACAATTCAGTTTTTGCATATTGACCTTGCTACACTCACTTTGAAAGAATATATATCTTTAATTTCAGAGGAGAGGAAGGGAGAGGGAGAGAGAAACATCAACGATGAGAGAGAATCATTGATCAGCTGCCTCTTGCACGCCCCACACTGGGGATCGAGCCTGCAACCTGGGCATGTGGCCTGACCAGGAATCGAACCCTGACCTCCTGGTTCATAGGTGGATGCTCACCCACTGAACTATGCCAGCCGGGCAAACTCACTTTTTACTACCAGTAGCTTCCATGTAGATTCCTTAGGGTTCTTTCTCTGTAAAATCCTTAGGATTTTCTACAAAGATGATCATGCCTCCTGCAAATCATATGCGTTTCACTCCTTCCTTTCCAATCTCTACGCTTTTAGCGTTTTTCTTTTCTTTTTTGCTTCATTTCCCCGACTAGAACATCAAGTACAACACTGAATGGACATGATGAGAATGGATCCCCTCGCTTCATTTCTCATCTCAGGAACATCATTATAGGTGCCCTTTATCATATCAAAAAAAATTTATTTCTATTCCCAACTTGATGAGGATTTTTATCAGGAATGGATGTGAAATTTTGTCAAATGCGTTTCCTGCATCTATAGAGATCATGTAATTTCCCTTCGCATTGGTCCGTCACGGGGACCCAAGCTGCGTGAGCTGCGTGTGGCTGCCTCTATTTTTCTCGCTGGAACTCGGCCCTGGCTTACCTTTCCAGTCACCAGTGAGCCCCGCTCCAACCCAGGCCCTTCCATCTGTTCTCTCCATCCCTCTGGGGAGTGCCTTGGCCTGGGGTTTGCTGCGGAGACAGCCCTGCTCCGCCTGCAGCCTCGGCAAGGCTGGCGCAGAAGGAAATCAGTGGCTGCTCAGGGGAATCTGAGTCCCAGGGCGTCCTCCGGGCCCCGTCTGTCTTCATACTGGGAGCTTCCCAGCTTCTGCTGAATGCATCCCCTGTAAATTGTGCGATAAGCTCTTTTGAGTCTATTAATCTATTATTGTTGTAAGCAATCCTCTTATAGGTTTGCCGCATTTGTGCTATTACCTGGGGAAGAGAAAATTCTTTTTTCTCCAGCTGATACTTTTCTGAAAATGCAGTAAGTTAGACCTGTGCTCTAACACCCCCTCAGCGCCTTCGTGGGGGGCAGCGCAGGCAGCACCTCAGGGTGCCGGCCTGGAAGCCCGGGCTGCCTTCTGATGAGGGTTCCACTGGTCTGCGGGGAAAAGGAGGCTACTGTGGAGAAGGCCCCCGGAAAGGCCCGTTTCTTTAATTTAAAGGGCTCTCCGCTCTGCTGGGATTCTGTCGTTCCCTCTTAGAGGCGCCCAAATGCCCTTGCTTGAGGAAATGGTGGTGGAGAGCGATGGAAGCTTTTTTTATAAAATGTCTTATTTGGCAAAATGGAAAATGGCTACACTATGTCGATCCATCTGCTACTACTACTACTATTATTACTACTATTATTATTATTACCATGCTTTTACTTTTTTGATTGACAAGTGCTGTCCAAATGTCTGGGAACTGCTGGCCTGGTAGCAAGCACACGGGGATGGGGGAGAAATGATACAGACCTGGCTTTCAATCTAACTCTGCCACTTCGTAGCGATTGGATCTTGATTAATCATCCTTGTCATCACAACAGAAACAACGGTAATAAACATGGGAGAACTAAGTCGCCGGGGCCTTTCTCTGTGCCACGCATGGTTCTCCGGTTCTCCGTCCTTCAGGTCCATAACGTCATGTGGCCTTCAGGCCGCCCCCGGGGGCCTGGGGCCCGAATTAACCTGCCGAGCGGCTGTGGGGTCCTGGAAAGCTGCGTGGTCCCTGCGCCTGGTTCCCCGCCCAGAGCTCCGAAAGCCCTTAGATTTCCTGAGTGGTAAGCACCATGGGAGCATCTTTTGTTATAATGAGGCCACGCTTCGTGGGCCCAGAGAGCTTCTGAGGGGGGAGGGGGGCTGGTGGACAGAGACCAAGCCTTGCTTCGTGCTAGGTCTGGTCAAATCATTGAACCGACACCCTCCCCTGAGGACTGACCCTCAGGCCACTTCACCACGGAGACCACATCCCACTTGCTAAGACCATTCTCCTTCCCCTGGGGACCCTCCTAGGATCCAGACCCGCCCGGAAAAAGCCCGCCTGGGGTCCTTTAAGATCCCTGGGGGCTGGCACCATGGTGGGGCTCATTCCATCTGGTATCTAGACGAACTGAAGATTTAGAATTCCTTACCCCTTCTGGCCTCGGGCGTTCCTCCTTCTCGACCCTCACAGGTAGAAGCTTGGAACTTTCCACCCCACATCTCGGCCTCCCAGGGCGAGAGGGGCCGGAGAACCGCCAGTGGCCAATGATACAATCAATCACGCCCGAGCCGTGGGCTTCCCGGCGGTGAACGCCTGCAGGTGCTGGGAGGCAGGTGCACCTGGAGCGGACACGGAAGCTCTGCCCCTTCCCGCACACCTGGCCCTGGGCACGCCCCCCCCTCGCCCCCAGGGCAGTTCCTGAGCGGTAGCCTTTAGATAAGCCAGTTCTGTGAGTCACTGTAACGCATTACCAAGCTTCGGGGATGGGAGTTGTAGGACTGCTTCACCCCAAATTTGTAGCCAGGTGGGCAGAACTGTGTGTAGCCTGGGGACCCCATACTTTCCATGGGCATAGGAAGTGAGGGCGGTCTTACAAGGCTGAGCCCTTAAATCCTCCAGGGGAGTTCGTGTCAGAAGTGACTTGAGCAGTAGGATCTCCTCCCCCACCCACTCCCGGCCCTGGTCCCCCCTCCTCCCGTCCCTCACCCTTGGTTTTGGAGAATCGCAGAATTGGCAGGTGTCAGAGTTGAGGAGAAAAACTCTAAGCCTTAGAGGTTGCTGGACCCATAGTAGGTGCTCAATTAATATTCCTTTTTCTCCTTTCTTCCCTCTGGGCACACTCCCAGGTTCTCATGGAGGGGAAGGGAGCTGGTTAACCTCTTGGGTTTGGAAATCGAACAGACCTGGATGTGAGTCCCGGCTCCTCCCTCCCTTGGCTGGGTGCCCCGGGCAGGTTGCTCACCTGCTCTGTGCCTCGGTGGCTAAGGTTGGAGGCCGCGGAGGGGAGCTTCCGCTTTGTATTACCTTCGTCCCCGGATGGGGGAGAAGAGCAGAAAGGAGAGGTGGGGAAGCGGCGTCTGGACCCCGCTGCCCTGTTTCTCTCCTCCTGGACAGGCTGGGCTCCCCCGCTGACTGCAGTGACGTGTGACTTACAGCTCCCTGCCCACTGCCTGGCACAGCCTCCAGCGCCCAGCTCAGCGCAGCCCCGGCTCCAACCCCAGCGGAGGGCGCCTGGCCAGCTGCAGTGGAGCGTTAACGAAAGCCTGACTCCAACTTCATTTCCTCTTGTCCAGGGAGCCTCGCCTGCCGCGGGCTGGGTGCCAGACCAGAGCGCTGTTGGCACAGGAGCAGATGCTGAGTGAAATCACAGCTCGTTGTGCCCAGCGGAGCAGGCGCTCGCCCCCGCCCCCCTCGCCATCACTGAGCCCCGAGGGGCACCTGTCCTTATGCCCGCGGTGCCAAGGAGAACACAGAGGCTTGGGTGGGCAAAGGCACCGGCAGAACATCTCACAGTGAAAACCGCAAACTGGGGTTTAATTCCAGGTCCCTTCCAAGGCCAACTGACCTTCCTTTTATACCATCTTCCTCCTGTTTGCTCGTAGGTGCAAATGACCCCTTAACAAAGCTCAAAATACCGCTCTCTCCTTGGCGAGCTGCGTGCAAGGGAAAAACTAAACAGCAGCAGCTGGGTGGGATGGGATGGAATGAGGGTAGGGGCTGAGCTGAGTCTTTTTAAAGGAGCAAGAGTCAGTCTGGTGACATGCAGGGGACATGGCACTTCAGACAGAGGGGAGAGCATAAGTAAAAAGAGTAAAAACAGAGGAGAGGACAGCACCGTGATGGCGAACCTTTTGAGCTCGGCGTGTCAGCATTTTGAAAAACCCTAACTTAACTCTGGTGCCGTGTCACATATAGAAATTTTTTGATATTTGCAACCATAGTAAAACAAAGATTTATATTTTTGATATTTATTTTATATATTTAAATGCCATTTAACAAAGAAAAATCAACCAAAAAAATGAGTTCGCGTGTCACCTCTGACACGCGTGTCATAGGTTCACCATCACTGATCTAATATGTGTCAGGGTGTGAGGGGCAGAAATAGAACACCGGGGACCAGCTAGAATTGTAAGAAATCTTCATCGTGCTCTGTTAACCGTGATTGTTTTGTTCTGACTGAAGAAGGCACATTCCAACCTGGCTGGGAGTTGCACGCGGGACCTGGGAGCTCACCTGGAAATGCGGCCCATCCTCCCCATCCGGGAGCTGCCGATTATCATGGGAAGATGAACGACCTTGTCGCAGAAACCAGAGCTGACAGCCCTTTGCATACCCACAGGCCTTTGCCTACCCCAGGCCCACATCACCTGTAAACTGCCCATGTTGCATACCCATTCTTATTCCTTTTGCCTCCTTCCCCGTGTAAGGTTGTCAAGAGCTTAGAGCTGCCAGATAACGTAGGGGTGTCCTGCATTTTTCTGTGCTCAACCTGTTTACTTTACAAGAGCTGCAAACGTAAGAGGCTCCAAGAGTCTCTGGTTAGTAGCTGGATTCATCTCCAAGTCAGCGCCGTTGAGAGAGTCCCAAGGAACTCCAGGTCGCCGGGCGCGTTCCTCTTCTTCAGAGCAAACTCTCGAGCCTCTGTGCTCATCACAGGCATTAACTCGGCTGAGTCAAGGCAACGCAGCCGTTTCTGGGGGAGGGGGCTGTTCACTCGGTCTTTTTGGATAATAACCTGGTCCGTTCTGGATGCTCCGCCCTCGTCCCCTTCCTTACCCCCCAGCGCCCCCTGAGCCCACGGACGGCCTCTGTCCTGGCCGCCCTCTGCTGGCCCAGGTCTCGCTAACGCTCAAAGCGCACAGGCCTGCAGGTGTCAGGCCCACATGCCATTCTTTTAAAGATTTTTTTTTTCCCAATTACAGTTGACATTCAATATTATTTATTCTGTATTAGTTTCAGGTGCACAGCTTCGTGGTCAGACACTCATCTACTCCACACAGAGCTGCCCCTGATAATCCCAGTGCCCACCGAGCGCCACGCATAGTTATTACAACACCACAGGCTGCCTGCCCTGCGCTGGACTGCACATCCCGTGACTGTTCTGTGACTGCCCATCTGTGCTTCTCAATCCCTTCACCTCTCTCACCCAGTCGTCCTCACCCCCCGCCCCCCGGCAACCAGCAGTCTGCTCTCAGTGCCTATGAGTCTGTTTCTGTTTGGTTTGTTGGTTTATATCAGCGGTTCTCAACCTGTGGGTCGCGACCCCTTTGGAGGTCGAATGAACCTTTCACAGGGGTCGCCTAAGACCATCGGAAAACACATATATAATTACATATTGTTTTGTGATTAATCACTATGCTTTAATTATGTTCAATTTGTAAGAATGAAAATACATCCTGCATATCAGATATTTACATTATGATTCATAACAGTAGCAACATGACAGTTATGAAGTAGCAACGAAAATAATTTTATGGTTGGGGATCACCACAACGTGAGGAACTGTATTAAGGGGTCGCGGCATTAGGAAGTTTGAGAACCACTGGTTTATATTGTTCTTTAGATTCTTGTTCCCTCTTCTGGAGGGGACTTCATCAGACAGCAGTGTTACCGCCCCCTGGGGAGCTCTGCGTGGCTGCCTCAGGGCCGGACGTCCCTCAGCCACTGATGCTCTGTGGTCCAGGGGCCAAGCTGAGCTTCTCTGGGGACCCAGGAGCCGGGGTACATCTCTACCTCTGGAGGTGTCAGTGGCCCCTGTCTCTTCTCCCCAAAGATCAGGACCCTGGTCCTGCTCAGGGACTCCTGCTGATTCTCCCCCCAGCCCACTGCCAGGGAACCCGGGACCATTTCCCTTCACACATCCTCTGTACCCTGCCTCATTCTCCAGGTTCTTTTTAAAAAATATATTTTTATTGAGTTCAGAGAGGAAGGGAGAGGGAGAGAGAGAGAAACATCAATGATGATAAAGAATCATCGATCGGCTGCCTCCTGCACGCTCTCTACTGGGATGGAGCCCACAACCCAGGCATGTGCCCTTGACCGGAATCGAACCCGGGACCCTTTGGTCCACAGGCCAATGCTCTATCCACTGAGCCAAACTGGCTAGGGCTCCAGGTTCTTGATATTTGTATCTAGCTGCTGGACTTTTTATTTAAAAAAAAAGGGCTTTTTTTTTTTCCTGCTCAAACATTTGACATTTTCCATCGAAATCCATGGCTTTCAATACCATGGTTTTTGTTATCGACTCACCTACTTGTGCCTAAGAGCTCAGAAGCCAATACTGTGATTCCTGCTCCTTCCTCTGCCTCCCTTCCCCAGGAGGAGCGGTCAGATGCCCCGCCACCGCTGGAGAGGGAGGCAAAGGGAAGCGGGCACAAAGGCTCGAATCTAAATATCGTTTGTAACATCAATATGTTACGCTGCCGCGGATACATTTGGAATCAGGTAGGAAATCTTCACACAAAGGAGATTCTATCTCCCATGCAAAAAAATAAAAAAATAAATTAAAAAAAAATCATGTAAACACAAGCTGTGCATCTGGTCTGACTTGTTCCCAGGATGTTCACTCATGGGGGACTGCGATCCCACATTCCAAGGGCACCTCCACCCACCCCTCACCATCGCCAGCACACGGTGCGAAGACTCCCCCAGCCTTGACCTCTGGAGTCCCGGGGCCAATGTGTCATTCACTCTCCCAGTCACCGCCTCCTCTGCTCACCTGCAGGGTCCTGCACCTGCACCCCCGTAGGGACCCGGGGACGTGTGAGCCAGAGGTGGCCTCTGCCCGCCCCGAGCTCACAGACCCGCTGCACAGTCCTGGGAGGTGCTGGGTGAGGGAAGGAACTAGCAAATGCCCACTGAACAGCCGTGGCTGGTGTGTTAGTTTGCTGGGGCTGCCGCGACAGAGGAGCACAGAGGGGGTAGAGGGCACCACAGAAATGCATTGCCCGCAGTTCTGGAGGCTGGAAGTTCAAGGTCAGGGTGTTGGCAGGGCCGGCTCCTTCCGAGCTGGGAGAGCAATCTGCCCCTGCCTCCCCCACTTCCGGTGGTTTGCCAGCCGTCTTCACTGCCCCTTGGCTTGTAGAGCATCAGCCATCGCTGCCTCATCTCCGCATGGCCTTCAACCAACGCTCACTGAGCATGCACTCAACTGGGACGGAAGGAATCCTTTATTCTCTTATTTTTTAATATATATATATATTGATTGATGTCATAGAAAGAGGGAGAGAGAGAGAGAGAGAGAGAGAGAGAGAAATATCAATGATGAGAGAGAATCATTGACCAGCTGCCTCCTGCACGCCCCCTCTGGGGATGGACCCCACAACCCGGGCATGTGCCCTGACTGGGAATTGAACCGTGACCTCCTGGTTCATAGGTCAACGCTCAACCACTGAGCCACACCAGCCAGGCAGGACTTCTTTATTTATTTGACATTTATTTATTGGGGGCCTGTTCTGTGCCTGTCCAGTCCCCGCTGCTGGGGGTCCCGATATGGGCCTGGCCCTCGGAGCCCCTATAGTCCCCCCTGTGGTAGGGGTGTCAGGGGATTAGGGCTCCAAAGGAGAGAGACCATTTCAGGTGAGAAAGACAGATGCCAGGGGGCACCTGAGGAGCTGATGGCGGGGACGAGGGTGGGACGGTTCCCCAGCACCCAGAGCCCCTCTCCAACAGTCTCCCTTCTATGCACCCTCTATGAGCATCTCAGGACCTCTGCTCCCCAAAGTCAGGGCCACGCTGCCCCCTCCCTGGGGCCCTTTCTAAGCAGCCTCAGGTGCAGCACATCCCCCACCTCCCCAGGAGGTTTTGCCTTCAGCCTAACACGTGGGCATATCTGCTTCTAGCACTGTCACCACACATACCCAGCCCACGCCTCTCCTCTTGACACCCTGGCCAGCCTGCAAGCCGGTCTAGGGGACCGAACATCTACTACGCAGCTTGTCACCGCAGTTAAGGCCCCCCAGACCCTGTCCTGAGCACACGATTCAAACGTCACGCTGGCTCCCAGCCAGGCCAGCAGCCCCCCGCCCGGCTCTCCTGCAGGCCTCGGCTCCAGGCAGCTCCCGGGGACTTCGGCTTTATTTTTGCCTGACCAAGCTGATTTCTCCCTCTCTTAGTCTCTCAAGGTTTTGTTCCTGGCACGGTTGCTAGAGACGCTCTGGCTCTGCAGTGAACCGAAATGTATTCATTGCAGGGGGAGGAAAACCCAGCAGAGTAAAGACTGCAGCTTTCCGTAAAGCCGGGTGTTAGTCGTCAGCAAAAAGCTGCGGTGAGGAGTG